GAATGAATGGAAATCCAAAGTCTCTGTAAATTTTTACTGAAATTAATAATAAATTTAAATTTAAAAAAAAATTAACACATCAACCACTAGAGCCAAAGATGAAAAAACTGAAGGGTTGGGGTTGTTTTTTTTTACCACCTTTGGCAGCCTGAAATTGCTCAAACATGCAACCAAGATGCACTGGTAATTTAAGGCCCTGATAAATGTTAAATGACTGAATAACTAATAGTCTAAATCATGGACAAATTTTTTAATGCCTATTTTTGAAGGGGAAAAAAAAAACCCAACCAAATTCATATAACTAAGAAAAGCTTATAACAAGACCTGTTTACATAAAACATGTGTCCAGCACATCTTAACACTTAGGTCACAATGTAAACTGAGTACGTTATTGTGTCCTTGCAAATTGGGGACTTTATAACTCAGGATGGAATAAAAAATGCCATATTTTTTCAAGAGTACCTTATTTAAAAGTTTAAAGAAGTATTAAAACTAAAAGGTGACGTAAAAAATCCACAACTTTTTGGAAGAAAATCTTTAAAAATCTGTTTTTGTTCAGGGAGATCCTTTAAAAATCGTATTTTCAGACTCCTGGAGGATAACTGGATAAATCTCTTTTGGTTTTGGAGATATTTCTCAGGAAAATAAAAAATAATCTGTCGTTTTACTTTTTTCCTAATGAGGCAGAATGAGAAAAAGGAGCAAAAATATCAATTCTTAACGTTGGTGGACAGCTTTACCTTCTATGAAGTGCTTTCATATTATCTTTTCGGAGCTTCCTCTTTCTCCCTTGACTGAAACAACTCCGGAATTAGCATCCTCATCTCACAGATTAGGAAATTGAGATAACCAAATCATCAGGAATCAGGTCTAGGGAGTACCCTTTATTGAAAGATCCATGGCAGCAGAGCAGCGGGATGGCTGGTTACCTTAACTGTAGGACCGAGAACTCTTGCTCTTCTTGGTGGCTTGGTACCTCTGGTCAAGGAGACCAGGCTTGGGGACCACTAGGGAAGGGCGGGGCTACCACAACACCCCCTGATAGACACAGCCATTGACTCGCCAGCACGCCCCGCCCAGCCGCCCTGCGTCCAAATGAAGGGGCGGGCTCCGCAGGTCGGAGGGGCGGGGCATGCGGCGCTGATTGGCTCCCTAGCGGTTGGCCCGTCCCTCCCCGTCGCCTCCTCGCCGGCCGCCCCGCCCCTGCCGCGCTCCCTCATCGGGAGAGGCCGCGCGCTGGCCGTTCCAACACTGGCTGGCGGGAGGGGCTCGGGCAGTATTTCTCCTCCCTATCGGGCTCCATCCTTAAAGCACGAACGCGGATGCCCCGCCTGCTGGAGAGCACTCTTGGATCTGGACAGCGGACAGCCCAGACAGTCGAAGCCGACCTGGGACGGCCTGTGGCGGCGAAACAGTACTGGCGACTCGGCCCGGACCCATTAGTTACGGGGTGTTACGCGAGGAGGGGGATCCCCGGCGCCATTGCTGGAGGTCATAACGCTGCCAGTTCCCAGTCCACCTCTCCGCTCTCCCCTGACTGGGAGGAGCCGTAGCTCGGGAGTCCTCGTCCACCTTTGACCCGAACTCGTGAATCAGAGCCTCGCCGCCTGCCTGCAGCTCTTCGGCTCCGGGCAGTCCCGCCGAGACCATGTTTGACAAGACGCGGCTGCCGTACGTGGCCCTCGATGTCCTCTGCTTGTTGCTGGGTACGTACGCGCCGCCTGCCTGCTGCCTGGCGGCGCCGCCGGGCCTGAGGGGTGTGCGCGCTAGGGCTTGGGCGGGGAGCGCATCCTGCGAATGCGTGTGTCTGCAGTGGGGCTTGCGAGGGGCCCCCGGACGGCGCAGGGGTTGTGCCTGAGCCACGCGCCTCTGACGGGTGGAATGCGGGCGGGTGGCTTCAGCAGCAGGGTGTCTCCGCTTTGTAGCTGCACTCCTGCTCCTTCGTGCCCGCCGCTGCCCTGTCTGCTGCCCGCTGTTGCGCTGAGCCCAGTCCCGCTTGAACGCTGCTCGCGCCTGTGCGCTCATCTGCTCTGTTTCCGCCCCCAACCACTCCCTGCAGAGTAGGGTGGGATTGCTCCCCTTTCCACCGTGCGGAGAAGCCTGGTCAGGGACTCCTGAGGTTCAGCAGCGAGGCTTGATGCTCTGGAGGTTCTCGGAACAGGCGCCAGTGCATGGTTTACCTTACTTGTAAGAAGCAGTTTAATTTTTCGGCCATAAAAGGTTTGAACCTTTCTAATTAGAAGGTGTTACTAGGTTGTAAATTGTCAGGTTGCAAATGGCGTGAGGATGCCAAGTTTTTTTATTCTTTAAGTCTTAAGTTATTTTTTTTTTTTTTTGCCAGTGGAGAGATGCCCCCGGTTGATGTGATGCTATCTCTTGATCTTCGCTGACCTCGCCTTAGTGTAGCTTTCCACTGGTGCCATCTTGCGCACCAAGCAGTAGAAGTCTTTGCGGCAGATTTGGCGTTGACTTACCCATGGAGGAAGCCAGCTAAGGGCTTCTGGTTGCAGTTAGTCCCTTCTTTGAAGTCGTCTGAATAAGAGGAGAGGTGTTGGAAGGGATATATTTCACCTTTTTATATAGATCACCTGCAAGGCAGTTATGCACTATTTCTGTTTTATAGGAAAGACAAAACCAATATCTAATTGTGTGTGGTCCTGAAGAAAGTGCAGCCAGCGTGCTCCTTGGAGGCGAGGATGAGGAAGCTTTCTCTCGCACTCTTTGGAAAGGACTGTCATGCTTGGGAAGGTGGAGGGTCAGTGAAGGAGGAAGACCCTCCATGAGATGGGTTGACACAGTGACTGTGGTAATGGGCCGCAGCTATTATGTGTGTTAGAGGTGATGAGAATGGCACAGGATGGGCTGCAGCTATTATATGAGTTAGAGGTGAAGAGGATGGCACAAGATAGGGGAGGGTTCAGATCTGTTGTTCATAGGGACGCTGTGAATCAACTAGAAGACTTAACAACTCATGTCTGGGAGAACTCTTGGTGGCACTCTCATCCCTCAGGCAGTTCACTTCACCATCTGCTCTGGGGCAGAAAGAGGAAGAGGAGTCCTCTTGAGAGATTTACTGCCTCTGAAAACCTGGAGGGTCAACCATGAGTTAATTCTGACACAATGGCACAGACTTTGACAGCTCATGATTAGGACTTTCTGGGAAGTAAAAATGGTTATGTATTGGATTATTAACCAAAAGGTTGGCAGTTCAAATCCACTCATAGGTTCTTTGAAAGACACACATGGCTGTTTGCTTCTGAAAAGATCAGAGCCTTGAAAACCCTGTGATGCAGTTTTGCTCTGCACAGGCGGAAGGCAGTGAGTCCAAACGAATTAAACTGAAACAAAGGAACAACATATATTATAGATTGCATGAAGCAGTAGAAGTCTTTGCAGCAGATTTGGGGTTAAGTAATTGTAGTAGCATTGTTGAGTTATCCAGGTTGGGGATCTATGTCTTTAGCATCCTAGTTTCAAGTCTACATAATGGCTTCTCAATGCCAGGTTTTAATTTGTAGTTCTTCCGTGTTCCTAGGAGTTCCTAGTGGTGCAGTAGTTAAGCATCTGCTAGCAGAACAATTGGTAGTTCAGAGACATCAATCTTTCTTGGAGGAAGTATGTAGCTGATGATTTCACTAAGTTTTACAGCCTTTGGGATACGATGGGGCAGTTCTGTTCTGCTCTGTTTAATGACAAACAATTAAACCAAACCCAGTATCAGAGTAGCTTCAGTGGCTTCTGACTCCAGTGACCCTTGAGTTTCCAAAGCTCTTTGTGGGAAGAGACAGTTTTATGTTTTGGTTTTAATTCATGAATAATAAAAGACCTTATCTACATTATAGATTTTTACAGCTTTTTGTTTTCAATACTGTGGAACTTGTAACATTTACAAAATGGCCCTGTAGAGAAGTAAGAGAACTTTAGTGCTGTGTTGACCTGACAGTTACAGGATATATGGTAATGTTCAAAACCATAAAATTGTATTTAAGATTTTTTAAATCCTTAATAGTTTTTAAAAAAAAGCTTGCTCTGGTCAGTTTTGCTTCAAATATTTTTTTAAAAATTATTTTTTTGTGTGTGTGTATGTGTCCCAACAAATTGGATCTGACTGTTACAGGAGGACATTGTGCTTCCTTTTAAAGCAGAGAATCTGGTGAATTAGAACCTTGTGCCTCTGGTGTTGCAGTGCAGCTTCTTGCCACTAGGTCACCAGAGCTCCAGCCTCAAATATGTTTTAGAGAAGTGAAAATGATGTTTGATATATTTGAGACATAGATTATATGTTTTCATGCTACTGGAGTTTCTTTCAGAGTCATTCAATATATTGTCAAGGATAAGCCCAAAATTTCCTTTTCCATAAATCATGAAATACTGACTTTATCTTGCATAGATAACACACTTGCATAGATATATAAATGACATTCCATTCAATTATGTTCATCTTCATCATACAAACAACACAGTGAAGGAGAACAGTGGTATATGTGATACTAAAGTTTCTCCTTTTGGATTTTGGAAGATACATGTCTTTCTAAGGGTCATGTTAAACTTGCATTTTATTTGGTTTATTGGCAGCAGGAGATTGGCAGCTTAAAATCATAGTAGCTCAAAGTGAGGTATCAACTAGGCATTAAATATTTTCTTTTGCTTTGGAGAATCTACAGGTAAGAGTAGATTATACCGACAAAAAGATGATTCAGCACTTTATATAAGTACAGGGTTATGTGAAAGTGATTCATAATTATAACCTGAATGTGCTGCAGGTTCTGTTAATAACCACCCAACATTATACAGCATATCCACTTTAATATGACTGTGTTACATGGCTGTGCTACACAGCAAATGTATAATTTTGTAGACTGTAATGTTTGAAAGTTCGTATGAGCATTAAACATTCTGTGTGTGTGTGTGTGTGTGTGTATTTGTACCGCAAGCCATCTTTATCATTATTGTGCATTAATTATATAATATTATGTTGAAATTATTACTTACAATGAAACTTCTTGAAAGAAGAAAGGTAATTTTCAGAGATCAATGCATTGATTCTTACTAAAATGGCACCTAGCCTTCCCACTTTCTCTAGTTCTTTTAGTGATGGGTTCTTCCATTGTAGAAAGGACTATAAATAACTTTTTTTAAAATTTTTATTTTATTTTATTATTTTTGTGTGAGTGTACCATCAAATCAGATCTGAGTGGTACAGGAAAAGATTGTCCCTCCTTCCCCCGCAGAGCATCTGGTGGATTTGAACCGTGCACCTCTGGGATTGTAGTTGCAGCTCCTTACCACTAGGCCACCAGAGCTCCCCTTATAAATAACTTTTGAACACACAAGAAAACTTGTTCAAAAGAGAATGACAGTGGACTGTTTTTTGTTCTGTTTTTAATCCTAGTTGAAAGTGGCTAGGTATTTGCACGGTTAAACTTTTTTTTTCCTTTTTTTTTTATTATTTTTTTGTGTGTGTACTGTCAAATTAGATCTGTCTGGTACAGGAGGAGATTGTCTCTCCTTCTGCAGCAGAGCATCTGGTGGATTTGAACCACGCACTTCTGGGATTGCAGTGCAGCTTCTTGCCACTAGGCCACCAGAGCTCGCCCACAGTTAAACTTCTTAGTGTTTCATTCTTGAGAGGCATTTTAGATTTTGTGGCATTGTTGTTGTTAGGTGCCGTCGAGTTGTAGATGACTCATAGCGACCCAATGAACGAAAGGCCTGAGCACTGTTCATAGAGTTTCTGGAGGCAAGCCATTTCAGAAGTGGATGCCGCTCCTACTTTCAAGCTTATTTTAACCAGGGAGCTCCACAAAGCACTGTCCACCATGGGTGACCATTATCACATTTGATACATCAGTGTCACAGTGTTTAGCATCACAGCAACCATGAGTTACCTCTGTACAGCAATGCACAGGCCAGTGCTATACCATCTAGAAGAATGTTTGACAAAGAAGCAATTTGAACCAGGCCTGAGTGTCGCAAATTAAAATCACCCATTTGTGGCATTAGGCTACCAACAAATGAACACTGATTTGTTTAATTGTTCTGTTTTTTGTTGTTAGATGCTAACAAGTCTACTATGACTCAGAGCAACAATGAATCTGATTCTCATTCTGTGTCATCCTCATCATCTCTGATAGACTTGTTACAATCACTGTGTCAGTCCATCTTGTTGAGGGTTTTTCTCTCTTGGGCTGACACTTTTACCTTTCCAATCTGATTTCTTTTTCTAAGGACTGGCCACTCCTAAAAACATACCCAAAGTATATGAGATGGAGTTTCCCCATCCTTATTTCTATTGCAGGCCAGCACTGTCTCATGTGCCTTATAGGTCCTAGGGGCACAAGATAAAGAAAATTCCTGCCTTAAAGGAGCTCAGGGTCTAATAAAAGAGAAGTAAATAAATAAGCAATTACAGTACAGCATGATAAGTACAATAATAGAGGGATGGAATAAGTGCCCTTTCAGTACAGAGAAGGATGTTATCTTTGATCTGCTCCACTACAGAAAAAAATAGATTGTTTACATTTAGAGTTAAAGAGATGTTGAAAGTTAGCATTTGTGGATATTGTTTTTGAAATTAGTATATATTTAAAAATTTATATAGAGCACTAGAAATCCATACGAGTATATATGGCTCCTTTGTAGGCAACCCCATAATGTCCAGTAGATTTGGATTGAACTGGCAAAGTTTTCTATTAATGGAACAGGC